AGCATATATTTTCAATCTTTTGCTCATTTTTCTAAGGATTTCTATCTTTTTTATTGATTTGTAGCAGTTATTTATATATTCTAATAGTTATTTGTATAGTATCTTTTCTTTCCTCTGACTTTTCTTTTCCATTTATTTGATATTTTTGATGAACAGAAGTTCCTATTTTTATTGTAGTTTATCTTACCAATCTTTTCATTAATGGTTAGTGCTTCTCGTGTTTTAAGAAATAGTTCCATAAATGCTCTTGTGTCTTGCTGGTGGAAATATAGGATAGTACAGCCCTTACAGAGTAAAATAATAATAATGTAGAAAAGTTATATACAAAATTACACTTTGTCTCAGCAGTTTTACTTCTTAGACTCAATTTCAAAGAGTTTCTGGAAAAATATGAAACCTTATATATACAAGGCCACTTTTTAGGGCATTATTCGTAACAGTATGAGATTGGATATAAGTTCAGTGTCAACTATTGTACATCCGCAAGATAAACTGTTGTACATCTACACAACTATTATATAAGAAGGAAGACGTACTTTACATTAATAAGGAATTATCTCTAGTATATATTAAGTGTAAAAATTAAGTTACAGAACAGAGTTTAAAATAACTTATCTTTATGTAGGAGAGGGATATAACTAACATATTTGTATATGTGTATCTGCATGCCTATTTGCTTATGTTTTCAAAATGAAACAGTGGAATGATAAGGCAAACAGTAAAAATATTTATGGGAAAAGAAGGGAATGAGATAAAGGGGATAAAAATGGATTTACCTTCTGTGAAGGTACCAAATAACAGTTTTCACTTTAGATCCATATGTATAATTGAGCAGCAAAAAGAGGAAAGGGCTGGGGGATATAGCATAAAATGCCTGCTAGGCATGTACAAGATTCTGGGTTTAATCTTTAGTATCACAAAAACAAGGGGAAAATCCATAAAATGCAAAGCAACCTGAAGTGAATGGACTTAATGATAAAGTTGTTAGTTTAACCATACAAAGGAAATAGCTATACTTCCTTTAAACTAATAATTATATGTTACTAATAAGGTATACTCTAAGAAAAATTATCACAAAAATATAAAGCTGTATTCACTAGTTTTAAAGTTGACAATAATAATAGTATTGTTTTTGAAATTTAAAAGTTCTATACTGTACATATATTGTAGGAAGAAGCTCAGAATTCATTTTGATAATGTTAGATCTGCTATTTTAAGCATACAAGAAATACAAGTGAAAAATCAAGATGCCACAGAGTTTAAGTGAAAAACTTTGTAATCTTAAATTTGAGTTAGAAATGCTAATGTGAACTCATGATCTATTTTTAAAAACTTTCCTAGCTTTTTTCTCTGAAAAGCCTAGAGCAGAAAACTAAACAATAGTTAACACACCTAGCATCACTGTGGCTTCTAAATATCATTTCTCAGGGAAAAGGAACCAGGCATCCTTGGAGAAGTATTCTGGTTTTGGGTTAGGAAATTACTCTTATTATTGATAAAGAATGTGAATCAAGCATATATCCTCCTTTCCTGTATGAAGGATATTTAGGGAAACAAAATAATTGATGGTGATAAGTTCATTACAGAAATCCAGATAATAAATACAAATGAAATAACGACATTAGGAAAGCCCCATTTCACAACTCAAATGAATAAGTATAGGTAATGGTCATCAATACATATGAAACTCATAGGTGAAAAGTGAATGGGAAAACATTATAATGGAGGAATAAAAATACCATTACTGGAATCTGGTTAATTCCAGCATCACTGAAAATGGGATCACAAAACACTATGTGCTTTATACCATGTATTTTAGTCATTTCTGATCACTGGGACAAAGTATTTGATATCTGCAAATTAAAGGAGGGGAAGTTTATTTTGGGCTCACAGTTTCCAGTGAGTTTAGTCCATGGCTGTATGGCTCCATGGCAGAAACAGCATGGTAGAAGAACATGGTGTAGACAAATATTCATCCCATGGCAACCAGGAAGTAGAGAGCAAGGAAGAAATTGGGAGCAAGAATACACTCCCTCATGTAATGACCCCAGTAACCTGCCCCTTCTGACCAAACCCCCTATTAGAATAGGAGACTTGAGGGAACATTTTAGATTTAAAATATAGCATTCCAGTTCCTGCCCCCAAAAGGTTCATGTCTATCATTGTGCAAAATGCATTTAGTCAGTCTCTAAGGGTTATGAAAGTTGTAACATTTTCAGCATTACTGAAAAGTCCAAATTTAGTGTCTTCTTTGAGACACAAGGCAAACCTTTAGCTGTGAGCTGTTATTAAAATAGAAAACAAAGTTAAATACTTCCAACATATACTAGCACAGGTCAAACATTCCCATTCCAAACAGAGGAAAAGAGGATGAAAAGGAATCAGACAAAAGCAAGAGAGAAATCCAGCAGAGCAAACATTAAATCCTCTAGCTCCATGTCCAGCACCCAAGGTAGGTCATAGTGAGCTGTAAGTTCCAAAGAGCTTGTGTAGCCCTACCTATATAGTATTGTTGGTTGCAACCCACATGGCTTCCCTCTTGAACCAAGTCTATTCAGTATGTGTGGTTTTCCTTAGTAGACATTGCATATTCCTGACATCTCCAACTTTTGAGGTCTCTTCTGCACCTTTGGGTTCACTCTCATAGCTTTATGCATCACCCTTTCAGATATACCTTGCCTGGCCTTTGAAGGCTTTATTTGTAGTCTGAATAGTATCTGTCATGAGCCACAACTGTTGGGTTCTGCACACGTGAAAAACCAACACCACTTGAGTGATACCAAGGTCTGCCACCACCTTGAGTCCCCGTGGACAACTGCAGTGGCCTCTTAGTGTCTGGATGGCTAAACTCATGAATACACTTCCCCTAAACAGCCCTAAATGAGCAGAGCACCCTGCATCTCTTCTGAAAGTAATCTTTCTAAAGAGTTTACCCTATACCCTTGAGGTTGTAAGAACTGGGCATATCCTGAGATGCCCTCAAGGCATCTTTCCTCTTGCCTTAATGTAAAGTACTTGGTTTCTTTTTAATGCTAATCTGTTCAGCAACCATAATCACCTTTGCCCCAATTTTGCAAGTGCTTCCTTTCTACAAAAACTAAAATTTTCATACCATTAGCTCCACTTTTTCCTTCTTAGTCTCATTATAGATCTGGCTTTAAACAGCCAGAAGTATACATGCTGCACCCTGAACATTTGTGCTGTCTTGAAATTTCCTCCACTAGATTAATTAGTGCACTACCTTTAAATTCAACATCACCCAAAGACTTAGGACATGGTCCAAATAAAGGCAAATTCTTCTTTTTATTAATGCATATTTGTGATACATAATTAGTACATTCATAATGGGGAGATATATATATATATCTTAATCCTTTTTACTTCCCCTTCCCCTCCACTTTCCATGCTCCCTCCATCCCAAGGCCCTTCTCATGTGCAAAAGAGCTACTTCCTTCCTATAAGCTGTCATTTTGTTCTTTATTTATCCTTTGGGTTGCCATGTGATATTTAATTTTCTCTGTCTGATTTATTTCACTTGGCATTATGAGAAGACAAGTTCTTTTCTGAACTTTGATATACATGCCCTCTAGCTCAGTTTCTAACAGAATGCTCATTCCCATGTAAAACATCATGAGCCTGGCCATTCTGTCATTTCTTCTAATAGCATTCTGGCACCTTGGCACCAACCAGGATCTCCCATCAATCTCTGTTTACAGGATTCTAAGGCTTCTCTAGCTGGTATCTCCATACCTCCCCAGAATCCTCCCGCAAACCAGTTCTGAAAGCTTCTGAACCACATGGTGAGGTATATTCACAGCAACAACAGTACTTCTCTGCTACCAATTTTCTGTATTAATGAGCTTCATTTCCCTGGGATAAAATACCTAAAACCCAAAATTAAAAGAATAGAGATTTATTTTGGTTCACAGTTTCCAGTGGGTTCAGTCTATGATTGGCTGGCTTCAAGGCAAAGCAGCATAGTGGTAGGGCATGACAAAAGAAGGTTTCTCACTCCATGGTGGCCAAGAAGCAGGGATAGAAGAAGCTGGGAACAAGAATATACTCTTCAATGTCAGCCTCCAGTGATCCGTTCCCTTCAGCCAGGTCCTACTTCCAAGCATCAGTCTTGGGGAACATTTTGTACCTAAACCATAATAGCATGTTACACTGAAAGTGGACATGTATCTATGAAAGATTCTTGTCTAAAATTGTTGAACATGAATCTAATCAGAACTTTAGATCAGTACTGTTAAATACTGCTTTCTTCAATTATATAAATGGTCTTTTATCTATTTTGTTCAATATGGTATCCACTAGTCACATGTGGCTACATTGAACATTTGAAATGTAATGTCTGAGAAAATGACATTAAAAAGTTAAATAGACAAATATGGCTAATGACTGCTCTATTAGATAGCATAATTCTAACTACAAAGGAATAGAGAGGACTGAGAAACAATGTATGCAATTTAACATCAAGAAATAATCCATCAAATTCGTTTGTTCATATAGAAAATAAATCAATAGTTGGGAACGGAAAATAGCTTGGATGGATAGGAAGAAAAGGGCATTGTTTGAGAATAAAAGGGATTTAAGAGCTGTTAATAGGTAAAAGCTGATATAGATTCTGAATAACCAAGTGTGAAAAAATATCTTTGAGGTAATCAATACAGTTTAAATATGAAGTTGGTGATAATGGGGAATTATAAATTTCATGATTTGTAATAATACCATTTTGGTTATGTTTCAAGTGTCCTTATCAGTTAGAGGTACATAATTTCATGATCCTGAGATTCCTAGGTGCCTCACTTCCTCACCATAATTCTAGCATTGCTTGAGATGCACTGTAATAAGATAGCTAAATACAGTCATTTGTCACATGGTGTAAACATCTTTCCTAGCAGAATTTTGATATCTGAGATCTAGTATTTAATTTTTGTTTGTCAAAACTTGTACTAGGAGGCTTTGTAGAACTTGCCTATCTCTTTGTCTTGATCCAGATGAATCCCAAAAGAAGAACAAAGGTGATCCCATGAACAACCTGGAAAGTTTTTACCAAGAGATGATAACAAAAAAACGTCTTGAAGAGTTCCAAGTTATGAGAGGTGAACCCTTTGCCTCCTGCTCACTGGTCTCAGCTACATCAGTGAGTGATAGTGACACAGCTGAGAAGCCATCATTACTCCAGCACGAGGGAGAACAGGCAGCACAGGGTAAAGGTCCCAGTCTCCATGTGGCAAAAGTTACCGATTTTTCACCTGAGCAGTGTTGGACTGAGCCTAAGAAGCTGACGCAACCAATAGAATTTATTCCAGAAGATGAGATCCAAAGAAATCGTTTGTCAGTGGAAGAGATTCGAAAAATTCCTATGTTTTCTTCATATAATCCAGGGGAACCAAACAAGGTATAGGCCAAACTAAGAAAAACAACATATGTCCATTTTTATTTACCTTTACCTAAAGTAATACTTTGAAATTAGCTTTGATTTTATCAAAGATCATGACATACGCACAGTGATTGTGTTTGTCCTTGATCTTGACTATTCATTCTCTGCATACTACTGGTATATTAGTAGCATATTTCTTATGATGTTCTTTGTAATTTTCTAAGGTCCTAATATACCGTTAGAATTTTAGAGAACTCTTGATCAGACTCAATCCATTAAAATTTCTAAAGTAAGGGAAAAGTAACCTTTAGTTTCCTAGTCTCATAATAATCAAGATGTATTCATAGAGCCACCATAGCTGGTATCCATGGTAGCTGTGCAATTAGTCAACAAGTAATTGATCAACTGGTTTTGAGTAAGGTTAATTGTTACTTGTGTGGGTTTTCTCTTCAGAGTGCTCCACCTGACTTTGACATATGAGTTAAATTGCTGATTATAAAGCAGTAAAGTAAAAACATAGGTCCTCTAAGCTTTGCAAAATTGGCAAATCTGTAACCAAGTAACATGGTATATAATCGATGTTTTATTGATCAATTATTTCATATCCAAGTTATCTGTTGTATCTGGAATGGAATATACTTCAATACCATGTTACCCAAAGAGACAATACGACTCCCTAGAGCAGCAATAACAAATTTTTTTCAACTTTCAATGTTACAAATACTTCACTGCAGCAAGTGTATCATAGGTATGCCACCACTGCCCTAGAATATTAAATTATTGTGTCTAATTAAAAACAAAATGATATTACGAATTTCTTCCAGTGTGTTTTTTAAAAAATCTGTTGAGGGCAAGGGATATTAAAGCATTTGCCTTTAATATCCTTTGTTGAGTAGTCAAATTTCTGGTATGTTCTTACTACTTGTTCAAGAGTTGCTTGATTTTTTTAATTAACTTTTCATTATGAAGCATTACTAATACACCAGAGTTTTTGAAAATTTCCAGTACAAGAACCTATTTAGCATTATATTACAGAATTATATCATAATTCATTTATCTATTTTTTCCAAAGATTTATCTTCAGATAATTTTGTAACATCATTGTTCATATCTCTTATTGTACATATGTAAGTGTCTTTAGAATGCTGCTTTTCAGAATTAAGTTACAATTATTAGGTAGCATCCAGCAATTTAAAAAAAAAGAAATAGAATGTAATAGAAAATATCCAAATGTGTTCCATATAGTTAGAATAATCACTGGGTGTTTATTTGCTTGGTTGGTTGGTTGATTTTTGTACCTAGAATCAAACCCAGGGCCTTACACTTGCCAGGCTAGTGCTATACTATTGAGCAGCCTCCCTAGCTCAATCACTTGTTTCTTAAAGCTTTTATTTTATGTGTGTAAATTTGAGCAAGAGTGGAAGGAGAGAGAGAGTTGTATGTGGGCTACATTATTAAATGCAGTTCTTCTTGTAGATCTTAATCAAAAAAGTTGAGGAAGGATCATTCTCTTCTAGTGATACTAGTGTGCAGCATAGTCTCCTGAAGGATCTATTAAAAGCACAGGTGCACTCTCACAATTTTTGACTTAGTTGCTTTGGAGCAGAGAAAGAAAGCTTGCATTTCTATCAAGTTCCAGGAAATGCTGATGCTGCTACTCTGAGAATGATATTTTAAGAATTGTTGTTCTAGGTTATATTCCTGGGAGTAAAACTACTGTAATATTATATATGATCTTTATGTCTTCAACTTTCAGTAAGCAGGAATCTCTCAGATATTCTCTCTCACAAATTGCTAAGACTTTATAGTATTAAGGGTTAGTGCTTTTTTGTTGTTGTTGTTTTTGTTCGTTTGTCTTTGTTTTGTTTTGTTTTTTGGTACTGGGGATCAAAACCAGGACCTTTGCACTGACCTACATCATCAACTTTTTTTGATTTTTTTTTTTTTTTGATACAGAGTTTTGCTAAGTTGCCCGGGCTGCACTTATACTTGTAATCCTCCTGCCTCAGCCTTCCAAGGGCTGGGATTAAAGCCATGTGCCATTATTCTCAGCTTAGACTTTTAGTTTTGTGAATCTAAGAAGTTTAAAAAGCTATAACATTGTTTTAATTCTGCTTTCCAATGAAGTCTGCACCTTTACATACATCTTAGCCCTTCGTCAACTCTGTTAGTTAACTTTTCCATTCCTTTGCCTATCATTTGATTGTTTTTCCATATTTATTCATAGGAATTATTTTTATATTCTGGATTCAAGTCTGTGCTGTTTTTTAATGAATATAGTATTTTCTGATGAGTGGCTCACCTTTTTAACATTGTTTCTGATATCTTTTATTGAGCAGTTTTCATTTCATTGTTGTCAAACTGTCAATATTTGTGATCGTTTGTTCTTCTCTATATCATGTTAAAGAAATCTTTCCCATAAATTAATAAGAAAATATAAACAACCTAATATGAATGAGCTGAAGATATAAATAGGCAATGCACAGAACCAAAAATGTGAGTGACCAATGAAACTTAAGAAATCTAATGAATAATCAAGAAAATACAAAATAAAATCACAGTGGTATATACTGTATAATACCCAGGATATTGGCATACATTTAAAGACCAAATACTGGTGAACATATGGAATAAGAACTGTAATATACTGTTGAGAGAATATAAATGAGTACGACCATTTTGAAGAACATTAATATACAGATTTGAGATACAGAATATCTAACATAGTGCTAAAGAAGGGCAAATTTGAAGGACTGATACTACCCAACTTCATGACTAACTAAATAAAGTGCTCTGAAATGATGTTAGAGGGAAAATAAAAGATAGATAGATCAGTGTGGAGTAGAATACAGAATTTAGAATTAGGTACACACAATATAGTGAACTTTGACAAAAGATAATACAATGGAGAAACAAGAGTCGTTTCAACAAATGGTGCTATAATAACTGGGTATCTGCATATAAAAGCAATCTAGATAGAAACCTTTCATTGTTCATAAAAATTAATTCAAATTGGGTTACATACCTAGATGCAAAACATAATAATATAGCATTTCTGGAAGAAAACAGGACAAAATCTAAGTAACCCCATGTTTGGTAACATATTTTTAAGATGTTATATGCAAAGCACAATTTAAGAAAAATTTTGATAAATTATATGTTATTCAAATTATAGACTTCTGCCATGTGAAAGGTACTTTTTTTTCTTTTTTTTTTTTTAATTTTATTTAAGGAGAAAAGAAAAAAAAGCAGGGAAAGGGTACAAGTTATACAGATTTACAGAAAAAAAATGAACAGTAGGAAATCACTAGTTAATGGATTACATATTGTCATCTTAGAAATAATTGTTCAAGTCACAAAATTAAAGCTTGTAAAGTGGACATTCCATCAATGATACTGCAAACAGTTCTGTTCATTGATCCAATAAAATTCTGTGATATCATTTTCTATCTTATACACTTAAATATACATGCAGTTATATAGTTTGGAGCACTTTCTTTTCCTCTCTTTTGTACCATGACTATTACACATTTTGGGTTTCATTGCTCCCACGGTTCTTATTACTTTTTTGGAAGAGAGTAAAACCAAATGTGACATAACAGAACAGAATCGGTCAAGTCAAAAGGGTGGACATAATAGATAATGTAAAAACATAATACAAGGTGATAAACAATGGTTACCATAATGCCTCCCGCTATCTCTAATAGAATTGCCTATATCGTTAGTTATAATACAATTGAACAAAACAGTAAAGAATAAAACCGACAAAACCAAAACATTGGAGACATTGTAGGTCTTCAAAAGTAGATAAAAGTTAACAAGAATGGGCGTCATAATGAATCTCATTATCTTCACAGCTGATGCCTAAACTTTCGAGCCTGATACTATCCAGCAAAACAGAATAGGGGAACATCAGTTAAAAACCAGATGGTGAGAGTCATACAGGGCTTTAAATCAAGGTAATGAAAAGTCAAAGTGGGTTACTATAATATATCCTGCTATTTTTTTCCTTTAATTAAAAGGATAAAGATAAAAAAGTAAATAATGGAGTGGAGATTGAGATAAAAGAGGGCATAACAACAAAACGGCGCAGATCAAAATATAACCATTTAAGCAGAATAGTGTTTCACCACCAGATAATCCTAACCTAAAAGTAGTTACCATATTGTCTCTTTCTTTGAAATCCTTGAGTACAACTTCGTATACTGTAGCATTAAGTATATCAAAACAATGTAAAACCATTCAAGAGAATGACAGCATTACAGAGTATTTAGAATCGACTAACAGAAAATGAACAATGGTTTCTGTATAATCTCCTTGTCTTTAAAAGGTTTTTGCTTATACTATCGTACATAATAAAATCCAATAAGATACAGCCTATTTAGACCATTGGAGACAGAAGGACAAAAGCTAGATGAGACTTCAAAACAAGATGATACTAAATCAGTATTACCTATTAAGATGTCATTTTCTCCAAAATAGCTGTTCCTATCATCCAATCTTCTCTGCCTCATTTCTGTTGAGCTCTTTTTCTGTCAGTAGCTGTCAGTTTGTCTTCTTCATTTTGTTCTCTGCTCCATTCGTTGTGGCCTCTCTGCCATTATTTCTGGATTGTTTGTATTTTTCTTTTTTTAGAATATCCTGCAATACTCTCTGTAGAGTTGAATTGGTGGTTGCAAATTCCCCCAGTTCCTCTTTATCCTGGAAGCACCTCGTTTTTCCATCAATTTCCAGGGACAGTTGTGCAGGATATCTCAATCTTGGCTGGAGATTATTATCTTTCAAAGCTTGAATTATTTCCCCCCACGCTCTTCGTGATTTGATGGTTTGTGCAGAGAAATCTGCTGTAATTCTGATGGGTGTTCCCTTGTAAGTGGTCTGTTTCTTGTCTCTTACAGCTTTTAATATTCTGTTCTTGTATTGAATTTCTGGAATTTTTATTATTATATGCCTGGGTGTTGCTCTATTTGGGTTGTAGGTAGCTGGGGTCCTGTATGCCTCATACATCTGAGTATCTTTACCTTTTGCTAAATTAGGAAAATTCTCCTGGATTATTTCTGTGAGTAGCTTTTGCAGTTCACTTGTTTGTGTCCCTACTTCTTCTTTTATGTTCTTAATCCTTAAGTTATGGATCCTCTTATCATCTTCTTGTCTTTGTATTATTGCTGTTTGTTTCTTTGTTATTTTTAAGAAGTTTTTCATTTCATTCTCCCATATTACAAGTCTGCCCTCCAGTTCAGATAGTCTGTCCTTAGTTTCTTTCAAGCTGTTATGCCAGTCTTCGGTAGACTTCTTAGTATCTTGGTAGTCCCTTTGAACCTGCTTCACGTATTCTATGCTTTCTCTGTTTTCTCCATCAAACAATTCTCCCCTTTTTTTCTGTTCTTCCATTCCACCACCTGTTTTTTTCTTGGGTGGTACTTAGCATTTCTCTAACTATTCTGCATACTTCTAGCTTCAGGTCGTTGATAACTTCATTCCTGAATTGGTCTATGAGGCTCTCTATATGGCGCCTTATGTGTATTGGTGCGGTGTCTGCTATTGCCTGATTCTCAGAATTGGGGGCCGAGGAGCCTTTCTTGTTGCTGCCTCTTCCCATGCTGCCTCTTCTTCTCTGTTCCTTATATATGCAAGCTTATATAAGAGGCCCAGGTTCTCTCCCAGTCAGCCACAGCCTGATCGAATTGCGCCAGTTAGGTGTTCCCACTCACCGCTGCGCACCAGGGAGTTAGGGACCAGGCAGCCTAGGCGTCTCCCCTCCCGGCCACCGTCAGGCTCTGGGATCTGGGTTGGGACAGCCTACCAGGTCCGCCGGCAGCATCACGCAGGCCAGGCACTTTTCACCAATCCCGCCCGAGAGGGGGATGTGTGGCTGGAGTCGCCACCGTGCCCTGCTCCCGCAGGACTGCTCGGGCCCAGAAAGTCCTCTGCTGGAGTCAAACTGTGGTAGAGTATCAGTTTCTCTCACTCACCTTACCACAAGTCAGTGCACGCCTCCCTGCCGTTCGCAGATTGCCGTTCTCAGAGCTTCTGCGCGTCTCTCTCCTTGCCGAGCCCCTGTAGAGGCAGCCAGCCGCCGTGCGGCGGGAAACCCAAATCGCGGCTTACAATGGCGCGGGGGTCCAGCCTCCACACCGAGGCTTTTCTGTTCCTGTTTTAGCGCCAGGACTGCATTCCAAGTTGGTTTCTCTCAGCCCAGTTCGTTCCTGAGTCAGCAGAGCATATCTCCACCTGCTTATGTCTCCTTAGTCCGCACCATTCCTGGCTTCTGAGCCGAGTCTTTCAGAGAGCCTCCGGTAGTTGCTGTTATCTGTCCACCATGTTCTCCCGGAAGTCGAAAGGTACTTTTTAAAAGAGAATTAAAAGGCCTGACACAGAGTGGAGGAAAATATTTTCAAAATACATGTTTAGTAAAAGACTCGTATCTAAACTAGCCAAAGAAATCCTAAAACTCAACAGTAATAAAATGAGCAACTCAGTTTAAAAGTGGGCAAAAGAAAGTTAACCACAAAAGACACAAAAGACACATAAGCCTATGGAAGAAAATCATCATTATTTGTCATCAAAGAATTGCAAAATAAAATAAGTGAGATGTCATATACCTATGAGATTGGCTCAAGTATACAATAAAACTATCAATACCAAATTGTGTTCAGGATATAGAGAAAGAAGAACTCTTATTCATTGCTAATAGAAATATATAATGGTATAAATTCTTTGGAAGACAATTCAAAAGTCTCACAAATGAAATTTTTGTTTTACTGGCAGTTTTGCTCCTAATTATTTACCCAACTGATTTGAAAAACATATCTCACAGAAAAACTGACATGTGAATGTTTATAGCACCTTTATTTATAATTGCCAAAACTGAAAGCAACCAAGATATCCTCCCATATGTGAATTACCATTCACCTATGGTAATTATATACAATGGTATATAATTCAACAATATAAAGTGAAATAGCAAGTCATGTAAAATCATAGAGGAAATTTAGATCCATGTAAATAGGTGAAAGAAACTAGTATAGAAAGTATTTATTATATGATTGCAGTATATGACATTCTAGAAAATGTAAAACCATAAGGACATCAAAATGATAACTGGCTAAGTAGTAGTTTCAGGGGGAAGGAAGGAAATATATACAACAAGGGACTTTTTGGAAAATAAAATTATTGTGCATCAGGTGGAGGCAAACCATACATTTGCCAAAGTACATATAATTATGCAGCATGAAGAATGACTCTTAGTTACAAATATTTAAAACTATTTAGGGGATTAAGGAGTTCCAAGAATGAAAGACTGTGTGAATAGCATCTAACTACTTTTCAAATATGTAAAACAGCTTTCTCGAAGGGATTGGGGAAAAGGTGCTGCTGATCTAAGTATCTTTGAGAATGTTTAGCATCTGGAAGACTAAAGCCAAATAGAGCTACATATATTCCCTGCACCCTAATTGATAAGTACCCATGAGGGTACAGGTTCACAATGCTAATACTGCTACACAGTATTTTCATCTTTCCTCTTTGGGTTTATCAGTATCCCCAGAGGAGAGTGTTCCTAATGCTTTCTTTAGAGAGTAGTACAAGTATTCTAGGAGCCTAATGTTATAAAAGGCCCTGGGGGATGCAGTTTTTAGTATGCATTCTTTGTCTTAGTCTCCTTGCTTTCAGAAATAGTATTCACATCCCCAAAATTGTATGGCATTCCCCATCTTCCAACAGTATTTTGCCAGATCAATGAGGTGCCCTCACCAGTAGCATATTATGGAGATTTTTAAAGTTGTAATTTGTTTTTAAAAAGCCTTAAACCTAATAACTTTATTTTAAATCCATCATTTCCAAAGATACCTGAAGCTATCGATTCCTGAACTGTTTAAGAATTCTTTAGTAGAGATTGGGTAAATGCTTAGCTTTCCCCACTCATGGTTTAATGTCTACTTTCTTACTGTGCTGAATTTTTTCTACTCATTCAATTATTTTCCAACTTCTAGAATATTTTTTCATGTCCTTTTTGGCCTCCTTAGTTAAGATCATTATTTTTATTAGTCTCTATAATCTTAGGGAGTTCTCTGGAGAGTGGAAAATTAAATAAATGTTTTTGATCCACCAATTTGTCTGAAATCAACTCATTCTAACTGTAAATAAAAGAGTTGTCTCATGTTCCTTATGTGTTATTTCTGTTGATCTCAATTTACATTAGGTGTTATACCTGAAGAACCTTAGTCCTCGGGTGACTGAAAGAGACCTTGTGTCATTGTTTGCTCGGTTCCAGGAGAAAACAGGACCTCCAATTCAGTTTCAGATGATGACTGGACGAATGAGAGGACAGGCTTTTATCACCTTTCCTGGTAAGTAGCTTCATGTAGATAATAATTTAATTATAGCCTCAGTTCACTAGAGACTACCTCTACTTCTGATTTAGATACAGCCGTTTGACATGAAAAGGCAAGCAAAATAAGTAAAATGTGTTTAGTGATCCTTTGTCTCCCTTTCTCTGTTTCCTCTCCTCTGTTGACAGTATATGACAGACTTACCCCAGTGTCCTCAATTTCCTCACTGTTGCTTACTCTACCAAAATTTATTTTCCTTTTGCTAGCAATAGTATTTCTAGTCCAAGTTATAATTACATTATTCACTAACTTATACATTGATATTCTCATCAGAATGCATGTTCTTTATGCTCTACTCATTTTACTGCAAGTTAGTATACTAATTCATTACTAATTTATAATTAATGGATGATGATATATTCTTCTAAATGAATGTTAATACATGGCATTAAGTGTTCCAAATGGAAATGAAGGAATAATATAGGAATGCTTTTTTTCTATAAAAAAAAAACAGCCAGTGTGTTCTTTTGGCAAGAAGTTAGGAAAGATCAGTACTTTTAATTGTCCTTGAATTATCATCATTTATAAATAGCTTGCTAACCTATGTGTAAGCAAGTGGTCTTACACATGAGTACTGCAAAACTCCCCTCCATTGTTTGCCTACAGTCTTGTGTCATCTTTCATTTCCCATTGAAAGTTTATAAATCCTCTGTATTAGTGGTTTTCAGTGTTTACTAGTCTGAGCACTCCTTTTAAATTTAAAAGGATCCCAATATAGTATGATCCACAAATTGAAAAATACATTATAAAAAGGGTTTTATAAGCTAAGTATTTTTAAATGTATGGCTGTTTTGCTAAGAATAACATTTGCCACATTGTGCATTTGAAAATTTGTACATATTGCTGAGACAGAAATTTGTTCAGTCTAATGACATTGTCTACTTATGATTCCACAGACTTTTGGACATAATTCACTCCTTCCTAATTTCTTTCATTCAGGCTCTGAGATCCATAAATTGATTATTCCTGGTGACAGGATGTATTCTCAGGACTGATGCTGCTATATGTGTACGAGGATTCTTAAATTTATTTATAGCTATCAGGATTCCCACAATTACTCTCCCACTGAAAGAAAATAGAAACAAAGTGTCCCTGATAATATGACTACTTCTATTGTTTGTGTTGCCATTTGGAAAAAGATTTGGTTCTCCTATAAAGTGTCTCTAAGAAACTTGTGTATGATTAGGAATAACAGATTTCTTTAGCACACTGCCTTATTTCTGTACCTATATCTTTGATGTAGGAGATACTCTCAAACATCCATTTTGAGTTTTTATTGTCATTGTTGCTAGCCATTGATTTTAACCTTGCTAAGTTGTATAAATTAGAAATTATAGAAAAGATGGAAAAATCAAATAACAGTATTACTTTATTGTTTGCATATAAGTCTGAGGCAGTACAATCTAAACTAGACTTGGAATTAAATTTAATTATTAAGCTCTATGTAAATTGATTTTTTCTTTTTCTTTCTTTGTGTTTTAGATAAGAAGAAAGCATGGGAAGCCTTGCATCTAGTAAATGGATATAAACTGCATGGGAAAATATTGGTGATAGAGTTTGGAAAAAAGAAAAATCAACAGTCAGATCTCCAAGCTACTTCTCCCAAATCATCTATTACAGATAGTAGTATTGAGATCAATGATAGCTAGAATGAATATACATAGCTCTGGATGATCAGTCTTGCATTAGAAATTGCAGAGTAAGGATTTGTATATAAATTTGTTTACAGAGCAGAAACTAACTGAGAGAAAAGTAATAATGACAACACCTTTCAGCTATTGGCAATAAATAGAACATATTTTCTACAACCAAAAACTATATAGGTCAAAAATCTCATGAGTATTAAGGGTAATATACAGAGAGTATTATTTTCTCAAGGTAAATTGCATAGAACTATTCCCGAGAATTTTGTAAAATTTTTATTATTTCTGTTGTCTTCAATATTTACTCCTAGAAATTGCATTCTTTGCAAGCCTGTTTCCTGTATATAAAACTTTAAAACTAATTAAATGTTTAAGTATTTGTTTACTGGATCTTACCTGTCCTTAATTGTGTACACCCAGTAAGTAAAGAGTGAGCCCCTAGGGCCTAATTCTTGACAAATGCTTTTATGTCAAAACTAGTAACAAGAACTTGTTTCATAAGTCAGCCAACATATTTGATGAATGCTTCTACACTAACATATCAGTCTTCAAAAATCTATGTATTTTTATAATGAAATCTTTTAGATCAAAATATTGGTGTTTGCATGGCCACTTAACTAGCGAGATGCCAGTGACTAATCATTGAATTCAAAGCAATAAACACTGGCTACATAATATGTTAAATATTAAATAGATGAATTTTAGAAAAAGAACATACTTGCAAGAATACCAATGTGACATGGAAAAAAGAGTTCTCTAGAAGAGAGATAGCCTGTTTCATTCCCTAGTTATTTGTTTAAGGTTGCTGAAAAAAGTAGAACAATATTGTATACAAGAAGTGCTACAAACTTTGGAATCAAACTGAACCTTAATCCATTTGTACCACTTTGAACTTGACAAGTCATTTAATCTGGTCCTCAGTTTTCTCATTTATAAAATGAGAATAATAATGCTTCTCACCTTAGTAGGCAGTGAAGATTGAGATATTACTCAGATTGGGAAACAAAAGAGATTGAATAAATTTAGAGATTAACAGTTGGTAGTAAGATACCGTTAAGCACTTCTGTGTGCATGTAATGAGAGTGCCAGAAAAAGAGAAGAGAAAGAAGCAGGAAAACATTCCAGGAAATAATGTCTGAATCAAGTGTGGTAGCACACACCTTTAATCCCAGCACGTGAGAGCCTGATGCAGAAGGATCACCACAAATTGGAAGCCAGCATGGGCTATATCGTGAGTTCAAGGCCAATCTGCACTACATAGCAAAACCTTGTCTCAACTCAAGAAGGAAGGGAGGGAGCGGAAAAGGAAAGGCAAACTGAATGTTTAAAATTTTATGAAAAGCAATAGTCTACACATTGAAGAAGCTCAGCAAATCCCAAGTAGGGAAAGGAAAAAAAAAACCTACATACAGACCTATCGTAATAAAAATAGTGGAGCCCAAAGATGGTAAATCTTTACAGCAACATAAGAAAAATTAACTGTCACTTACTAGTGAACTCCAATGAGATTAACAACTTACTTCTAATCAGAAACTGTAGTGGTATCTGTGAGATAACATTTAAAATGCTCAAATAAAATGATTCTCAAACAAGAGCCCTATATACAATAAAACTATTTTTGAAAAGTGAAGGTGAAATAAAACAGTCCCACATAAGAAAATGAAAGAACTTGTTGCCAGCAGACCTCACGGGAAATACAAAAGGAAATTCTTAAGTGGAAAACAAGTGCCCTTAGACAATAATTTGTACCTACACACAAAAAAGGAACAGACAGAAATAATCATCTAAATTCATTTTTCCTTTAAACTAATTTAAAAAACAATTACATGAAATTATATGTATATAGTTGCATTGTTTTACCTTATAATAGTGTAATATGTTTGCCAATAATAGAAGAAAAAAGCAAGATGGTAAGACTACTGTGTTTTACTAAAGCAGTGACTATAGATGTTATCTCAAATCCATTGGAACAGAGATGATAAGACAGGACAAATACAAAGATTAATATTTTTTAAAAAGCTATAAGTATACAATTGTTCTTTTTCTTCTAAGCTTCTTTGACAGGCATAGAATTAAGTAATAATTATAATGAAATACTGTAGGGTTTATAATGTAGAAATAATACATATTACTGTCATACCACAAAATGCAGAGAAAGGAATGTGTTTGCATAGGAGTATGATTTCTCCTTTTCACTAGCATTTAGCGTATACCTTTAGCCAGTGTGGTTGAGATAAGATGTATATGGTAAGCCTTAAAGCAAATACAAAGGAAATAACTTTTTAAAAATGAAGATACTATTAAAGAAATTTAAATGTCACATTAGAAAATACTTAATGCAAAAAAAAAACAACCCTTCAGATAGAAGGCAAGTAAAATGGCAGTTAAATCCACCTGTGTCAATAATAAAAATAAATATGAATGGGTCAAACTAATCAAGAGACAAAGATTGTTAGACTGAACAAAGAAAATACTCATCACTATTCTGTTGTCAGTAACATACTTCAGAAAATACAAAGAAATTGAAAGTAAAACAATGGAGAACAATGTATCATGCAAAATATAATAAGAAAATGGAGTGACTACACTAGTATCAACAAAATAGACTTTAAAGCAAAAAATGTTACCAGAGATAAAGAATCACTCTTGCAGGGAAATGTAACATTTATAATGAGCACAGACCCAGAATACATGAATCAAAATAAATGAATGTAGAAATAAATAAGTCTACGAAAACAGTTGAAATATTCAGTATTGCATTTTAAATAATAGAAGAACTGGAAGATTATAAACAAGGAAATAGACTTGAGCAACAGTCTAAGCCAAATAGTTGCCAAAGACATCTGTTGAACATTCACCCAACATTAGAATGCATGTTCTCAAGTGCACATGAAACATCTCCAGAATAGATCATAAGCTAAGCTATCAAACCTTTATATGTGAATGGAAGTCATGTAAGGTATATTCTCAGTGAAACCAAGCCAAAGTTGGAGCTATAAAAAAAAGCTACAAACTGACAGTCCTTGAACTAGAATTACCAGAAAAAGAGACAAATTATTAGAATCAGGAATGAAGGAGCAACTCTCACTACTGACCTTGTAGAAATGAAAAGGATTAGGAAGAAATAATATGAACAACTGTATGTCAATGAATTAACCTAGATGAAATGCACAGATTTCTAGAAAGACAGACTACCATACCTAACTTAAAACAGAAAACCTGAATTGACCTATTAACAAGTATGATAAGTGAACACTACCCACAATGAAAAGCCCAGGCTTAAGTGGCTTCATAAATGAATGAAACATTTGAAGAAAAATTAATACATTTTCTTCAAATATTTGAAGAGTAGGGATCACTTATGACACTTACTATTACATGGGAAAGCCCTACGAGTGTGCTCAGTGAAAGAAGCCAGTCATGTGTGACTACATAAAATATGATCCCATTTACAGGAAATGTCCAGAATTGGCAAATATGTAGGGACAGACGGTTAGTGGTTGCTTTAGGTTGGAGTGGAAAGCAAAGTAATGCAAAGGACTGAGGGTAAGGGCTGAAGTATATGGGGTTTCTTAGAAGTTAGTGAACATGTTCTAAAAGTTACTGTGTTGACTATGAACGTTATGAATATACTAAAAATCCATAAATATAATTTGAGCGAATTGTATGGTATGTGAATTATATCAGTATTACTATCACAAAAATAGAAAGTTGGGTATTATCCAAATTCCCAGTCATAAATAACTTCTGGCACATCTACTAGTTAAAATACGACTATATTTATGAATATATTCTGACCTGTACTCATATCCAAAGTTTTATGTCAAATTAAAAATTAGGATTATATGCTATTGTGTATATATATGAGCATGTAGAATATTTATATATAGATATTTCAAAATAAACTTGGAAAAAGATGAGAATATATATACCAAATTTTAAACTTTGATGGTAGGATTGAATAAGCTGAAGTGAACTTTCACTTTGTAAAAGTAAGATGGTGTGATTCAGTGATTTTTACTTTTTTTCAGTATCTTTTAAATTTTAAAACAATGTAAATATTTCTGCAGTGACTTGGCTTTCAGAATATTTTTCGGGGCTAGGGGTTTAGCTCAGCGGCATAAGCACCTGTCTTGCAAGCAGGCAGTCGTGAGTTCGATCCCTAGTACTGATAAAAACGAAAAAGACAAAAAAAAAAAAAAAGAATATTTTTCATAGGCACTTTCAAATATCTTCTAACTATACTCAGGACAAACTCCTGTTTCTTTGATATACTGCTCAGTTGGTATTAACTACCCAATTTTAATATAGTTTAAGGAATAAGAAGTAAATTAGTCTGGTATAGATTTTGCATTTGTTACTCAAGAACGTAGATCTCAGCTGGACTTTCCAGAAAAAAACTGTTTCCTGTTAGGTGGGAAAACTCACCTCTGCCTTTTACTAGACCTACAGGCCACTAAAAATAGAGGGAAATATTAGAGAATACCTTTCCAACTGGTGCATAGATACAGAAACTGTGGTATATCGAGAAATACAATTCTATTTGGCAATAAAAATGATTGAACCATACATGTATCAACTTCTATGGAAGCTGGCGTACTCAAGTATGAAGTGTTAGCACATGGGGTTCATGTTAGTAATGCAAATTTTCTATATGTCGGTTATAATTACTTACATGTATACATTTGTTAAAACTCATCATTGTACACCAAATGGGTGAATGTCACTGTGTATGATTTTTTAAATACATTTTTAGTGAAGGAAAGAAAAATTTGGATAGTCATTTACATTAACTAGTACATGTATTCTGTGGCCTTTGATTACTATGGAAAAGCTAAAGCCATTTTGCTGCTATTCCTTATTTGCTGCCAAAAGGTGATCAGAAATTATTAATTTAAAAATTATGCAATATACACACAAACCCTCCATAAAAAATAAAAGCTGAAAATACATTTGTTATCACAAGGAGCTAATTTCCTTAATATAAAATACGTATAAGATTTTTAGTGCAATTGTTGCCCTTTATCTATGGGAGTATATTACAAGATCCATAATGGGTGCTCAAAACTGAATAGTACCCAAATTTATATATACTGCATTTTTTCCTTTTATGCCCAATACAATTGCCACAAATACTAGAGTTAATCTGTCTTGTGTTTAATGATCTTGTACTTCCTTTTGCATTTGGGGGCTATAATGAAGTAAAATAAAGGTTACTTGCATAGAAGCATTGTGATACCATGGCAGTGTGACAGCTGAGAGTAAATCTGATACTAAGCCAGTAACTGGCAGGTAACATACAACGTGGATACCTTTGCAAAGGGATCATTCACATCACAGAAAGGAATGATGTGAAGTTTCATCACGTTACTCAGGATACTGTATAATTTAAAATGTATAAATTATTGGTCTGGGGATGTAGTTCCATGGTTACACACTTGCCTACTTATTTACAAAGTTCAATCTCCAGGACTAGGAAAAGTATATGTGAATTATTTGTTTCTGGGATTTAATACCTTCAAAACATGGTTGACTATGGGCAACAAACTTTGGAAAGTGAAACCACTGATAAAGGAGAATTGTTTACAAAATCAATAGAAAAATTTGGAAGTGTGTAAAATATAAAAAATACAAGTGACTAACAAATACTCAGATTAATAGTGCAAATTAGGGAAATCTGTGCCATGTGTGTGTGCACTCATGCACGCACACACATCTGTTATTGGCGATCAAACTCAGGTGCTCTACCACTAAGCTATGACCCCATCTCTTTTATTTTTAAATTTTGAGACAAGATATTAAGTTACCCAGACTGGCCTTAAATTGGGGGTTCTTCCTTAGCCTCCCAAATAGCTGGGATTACACGCATTGCTGCACCCATCATGAGCTCTTCGCTAAAAAAAGATTTATAGAAAATTTGCAAAAATGTTAAGAATTCCTATATATCCTTCACACAGCTTTCTGTTAACAGCTTACTATCCTACAGTTAAAACCAAAACACTAATATTGATAATCACTATTAACTAATAAAAAAAAAAAAACCCCAGTGGAATTTTACGTTATCTTACTAACATACTTTTCTCATCCAGGATCAAATCCAGAATCCTACATTGTGTTTTGTTGTCAGGTCTCCATTTGTTACTATTTGTGACAGTTTTTGGTCTGTCTTTGAAGAGTATGAGTCGCTTGTTTTGTAGATTTTTTTCCTAACTAGAATTTTGTGAGCTGCTTTCATACTGTTAGATTGAAATTTTGCACTTATATTAAAAATATAGCCATGATCTTGTGTCCTTTTTTGTGCAGTATGTCAAAAGATAAATTGTTGATTGTTTGACATCTTCTGGGTTTCTTCACTATAAAATTATCCTCATTACAGTTAGTTAATATTTATTTTCTGGATGATGGATTGAGGCCATTGAGTTCACCATGATTCTGTTTTTAATGATATATTTACAAAGTCATTTAACTTCTCTGAGCTCCCTTTCATCATCATTTACACATTAGATTATAATCTCATCATAAAAGTTCCTGTTAAGTTTATTATAAGCAATTTTGTTTCATTTTTAAGCCCTAGCAAAATTTATAGCCTCTGGCTTACGTAGTTGATGACACATAGTTCCCTCATAGTTTTTAGTACATTTCTCTCCACCTTGCCACAGGGCATTTCAGTTGTCTCAAATTCTGACCTAAAACACTATACTTGGAAAAATTTAGGATAAGGTCAACAAGACTACCTAGATTATCTTTTGATTTTTTAGTTAAAATTAAAACATCAGATTTTAAAAACTGATCAGTGTTTTATAAAATAATCTTTGTTTCATTAAATACTTCAATCAAAACAGAATTGTTTTTCATTTGAAAGAGTTAAATGCTTGAAAAATTCATTCCCCAAAAGATGTTAAGACTGTCACCAATCACTCAGCCTAACAACTAAATAGCTAACCATTGCCAATTAAAAATAAAGTAAATTTTGCCTCTAAAATGTGTCATTCCCCATACATTAGCTGCTCTCCAGTAGAACAAAAAGATGAAAGTGGTGTGAGCCAAATAATTTCCTAGGCCATATTAGGAAAAGCAGTGCTCCAATGAGAATATCAAATTTGTTAAAGAGAGTCTGACCCCTTTCCCTTTCTACATAGACCTTGATCTGGTCTCATATAGCCATACTTGTTTCCATTTTGAAATATTTTAGCTCTTCTGTTTTGCTTCTCAAGAACATCATTAAGTTTGGTTTACACCTCTGAAATTTATGATAAATGTCCTCTATTAACCTCAATGGTTCTTCATGGCAACAATCACTACTGTAGAGTTTACCTAGTAATTATTGTTTTGGTCTGTGCTGCTATATTGGTGACACCGAGTGCTGCCAAGGATATGTAAAACAGACACTGATTAACACTTTGGATAGGTGTATAAGTAAGTATAAAATTTTAGGGTAATTTGGCAATACTTAATAATTTAAATGTGCAAATCTAGGAAATTATGTATATATTATCTAGAAATACATGTGATTAAAGATATAAACACACAAATGTTTATTAAAGACTTGTAATATCAAAATCATAGAAATAAAAGCTCAATAGGGGACTGACTAGTTCAATAAATCATAGTATACAATACAATATGTTGATGGTCAGATAAAAATTGTCTTCATTTTTACTAGTTTGTGACTCCTCAAAATTCGTATGTTTAAATTCTAATACTCTCAACCACATTGTGATGGTGTGCGGCCTCTAGGAGATAGATCATGAAGGTAGAGTACTAATGAACAAGTTTAGTGTCCTGATAAACTGAGGCAAGATACACAGCACTCAAATTTAAGGAAGAAAAGGTTTATTTAGCTCACAGCTTGTAGAAGTTTCAGTCCATAATCAGCTGGCTCCAAGGCAGAGTAGCATGGGAGAAGAGCAACTGTTCATGGTGGCACAAGACAGCAAAATCAACAAATAAAAGAGGAGAAAGAGAGAAAACTTTTTCCTCTCTTATATTTTATGCAGGCAACCCATCCAGGGGTGGGTGTAGCACTTACATCCATAATCCCATGAATCAATCGCAAACTAAAAGCCCACTCCCATGACTGCATGAGGCTTTAAGGGGACACCTAGATGAAAACCATAACAATTTCTGAGAGCTCTCATATTTCTGACATACAAGAATACAGGAAAAATTTAGCAATCTGAAACCTACAAAAACCATAGTCTGCCCATGACCATGAGGGTATGCTGCTGTTAGCTGTACAGCCTTTAGGGTTGTAAGAAATAAGTCCTTTTTGTTTACAAATCACCAAGTCTATGATACTTTCTTATACAGAATCCTAAACTGAGTCATTGGTATTTTCAAAACATACAGTATCTATTGTATACTCATATGCATGCCTAAACAATAGCTTCTTGTACTTACTGTATTATGATAGTGCTTAAGACCATGTAATCAAAACTTCCAGTGTATTACCATTGATGAGCTGTATGACAATCTAAATCTCACTATGCCTGGCATTCTCATTTTTTAAAAATGAGAGCAATAATAGTATCTATATTACAGATCATGAGGATTAAATGAATGCAAATGCTGTGTTTTGGGTAGTTGCCAGAATATGAGATCAATAAATATTAGATTATTATTACAATGGATGAAATGTCCTTGCTTTTATCAAAGATCATCCACTTCATTTCCTGAAAGTTTCCACCATCCATCACTCTCTTCCTCTTCCTTTCTTTCATGCTTCTCCCTTTCAGCCTCAGTTCATACCCCTATTCTACATCTCCAATCTATCACATATTAAATTCTAATGGATATATTAACATTTTTGGATGTCTCATTTACAAAGATGCTGATCATAATAAAGACATGGTAGTGACTGTAGAACAGATAGAGATAAAAAAATATATAGGAGCTCGGGACGATGATAAAAATTATGAACACCCAACATAGGAAAGAAATGGAATTCATGAGATAGGTTCAAACAGATAGCTTGGAGATTAAATATTCCATTGAAGGTATATGTAGCAAAATGAGCCAATGTGAAAACAGCATCTCAGATCTAAAAGACAGGATTATGGTTGGCAATTATAAAAAGAAAGATACTTAAAAATAGCAAGGTACTACAATAAATCAATCTAGCATCTGCTAGATGATGCAAAGAAGAATAACATAACATTTATTGACATAAACTAAAAAGCATGAGATAACACAAATGGCATTAAAAGAAAATATCCACAAAAGAAAATGGACATCTGAGATGAACACACAGATCTTCTTCCCAGATGAAGATATACAGATGGCAAATAAATACATGAAAAAATGTTCACCATCACTGGTTATTAGAGAAATGCCAATCCAAACAGCACTGAGATTTCATCTCACTCTGGAAAGAATAGCTGCCATCAATAAATCAACTGATAACAAATGTTGGCAAGGCTGCATGGAAAAAACAACACTGCTCCACTATTGGTTGGATTGTATACTGGTGTAGTCAATATGGAAATCAGTACAGAATTTTCTCAGAAGACTAGGATTGAAAGTTCCATTCAATCCAGCTATTTCCCTCCTGGGTATTTTCCCAGAAAAACTGAAAAGGTCGTATTACAGTGATATATGTGCATCCATGTTCATAGCAGCACAATTTGTAGCAGCTAAATCTTGGAAACAACCAAAATGCTCACAAATCGCAGAGTGAATGAGAAAGATTTGGTATTTTTTAAATTTTATTTAAAGAAAGACCAAACAAAACAGAAAATAGGTAGAAATAATACATACGTTCAGAGAAGAAAATAAACAGTAAGAAATCACTAGTTGTTTACATATTGTCGTTTTACAAATAGTTGTTCAAGATACAAAAATGGAACATGTAAGTGGGAATTCAAACAGCGAGACCGCAAACAGTTCTGTTCAACTGTCCAACAAAAAGTTAGTAACATGGTTGTCAACCCTATACACTTAAACATACGTGGAGTTATCCATAGCTTCATTTACATTTAGATTAAACAAACTAAAGCAGGTTAAAATCATTCTGAACAAAGAATAATAGTATGGCTGGATTTCACATCATGACACTATGGGATCAGCTGGGTACTGTAGTGTCTTTTTTAAAAATTTAATTTAAAGAAAGATTAAACAAAACAGAAAACAGGTAGAAATAATACATAATTTCAAAGAAAAAAATAAACAGCAAGAAATCGCGAGTTGATGATTATGGATTGTCTTCTTACAAATAGTTATTCATGATAC